AACATGTATAAGAAAGTTCATCACTTTTGTTGTTCATGACGACGTGAGGGTGCGGAAAGTTGGTCCGGGCTAACTTCACTATAACAAACCAGATTGAGCTAAAAATTTAGGTTTATTAGTTTCAGACATTGTTCTTTTGAATGCACACAAAAAACCAAAAATTTAAATTTTGACGAGTGCTTCGAATCTTCAATGGTGTCATGGAGGCTCTCTTAAATAGTTTACTGATCATTCATTTACTTTAGTGAACATTCATTTATTTTACTGATTTTATAATTATTTTGCTTACTGACCATTTCATTTATTCTACTGACCACTAAAATGATAGTCATATAAAAGACTCTTACCATTAATGAGCATTAAGTAATTCGATACTACATCACCAGAGATGTATCAGACCAGAACGAGATATGGAGTTTCTAGTAAAATATTCAATCGGTTTAAGCTAATTATCCGATAGAACTTATGAATCAGAACATAGTTCAAGAGAGGTAATTCTAAATAAACCTAGCTATTGACTAAATAAATGAAAAAGACGAGTATTGAACAATTATTATATGTTTAATATGAATAGATTCTGGAAGGATTTTCCTAGACCAGCTCAAAAAGAAATGATCCTGCGTATCTCTATATATTCTGAACTACGCAACGGTTTGAAACTATTGCCATTCGATCGACCATGATGAGTAGTAAAAATAATTCTCATTATTTCGTGGTTTGCTCAAAATTAATTTTTGAGCAGAAAAATGAAAATGTTGTTCAATATATTGCTTCTATGAAGTTCAACAGTCAGTAAAAAATTAGTACCGTTGAAAACAATAACGCATCTTGTATATATCTTAGTTTTCTGGGCTCTGCGACTTCCATATCTCAAATGAATAATCTGGAAACATTGAGTCTATGATAACTTTTGCTTTAACTCTTTAGACTGATTAATTTTGAAAATATGCTCTCTGTATATATGAATGTAGTTTTATTTTGAGTTATTATTCACGTAGTTGAGAGCTAAGAAAACATCTATGCAACGCTTCACATGTATTTTTCGTATTTGGTTATGGGTGAAATTTATTTAGTCAGGCGAACAATATAACTTGGCAATGATATTTTTTACATTATCCATAAGGAAAGAAAAAGCTTGAATAAACCCATTCAAGTGAACACAAGTGGGAATGTTTCGATTGGCTATGAGCTACCCTATGTAATCGGTAATATGCAATTTCAATATTCATATTTCCAATATTGAAATCACATTAAGCGACTTTTTTAATGTCGATTTCATTAAAAAAAAGTTTCAAATATTGAAAATTTATCATACACTTTTTTTTTATTTCGATAGATAATTTACCTTTTCTTAATTTATAAAAAAAGCTCAGCGAAATTATTTTCATTATATTTTCACAGGTTAAAACCGGTGGTCCTAAAATAACATCAAGTCGTCAATCAGGAAATGAAAAAATAATTGTTAAATTTAATATAACAAATACTGTAAGTGCAGCTGAATCTGGTCAAGAAACAGAACAAACAAATGCTGATACGTCACAACCATCAGTACAATTAAAATTGCGAGTAACGTTTACTGTTGATATTAATCGTGGTAGGCAAACATTATCATTTTTATGTTCATATTTAGCAGATGATTATCCTGCTGTACCTGAACAATATCAAGGTGGAGAAAATTAAAATAATAAATTAGAAGATTTTCAAATGATGAATTTGCTATTCATGATGGAGAACTTTACGATATATTACTTAATTTACTTGAAGAACATAGTATTGGCGAAGGTTAGCAAATTTAGAGTATTGTTCACTCGCTCATTCAATTCTCAAATGATGATAATCATTAGTATTTAAAAAGATGATGTTAAAGTTTATCGTTTGTCATTGATGTTTGTTGTTGTTATTTTGTTTCGATTCTTTTGTGAAGGTTAAGGATTATATTCATGTACTTTTTAATCGTCAAGCTCGTTCGTTTAATCGTGAACTATTTAAATTTTGTGTCTAACTTCTAAACCAATCAATATTTTCTTGTGTATTTTAGAATTTGCCAATCAATTAATTGATTTTTCTAGTTTGCGAATATTGACAATATATTGGTCTAAATGAAAAATTACAAAATTTTATGTTTATATACTTGAAATAAAATTTAACATCATCTATCACCTTCATTTGAAGAATAAAAATTCTTGAGCTTTTTTTTGATTTTGTAGATTGAAATAATTATGTCGATGATCTATTTTACTATTTGGACGTTATTTATTGCATCAACTATTTCAACTTTACCTGCACCACGTGTTGTTTATTCAGCTGTTATCTACAATGCACAAAATTCATCAATTCAATGTAGTGTAGTCTGGTCTCAACCATCAGGTTCTACATTAGAAAGTGCTTTATTTGCTATCGAGAAATATGATTATTATGTAGTAGAAGAAAAAACAGTTGACATGGGCACATGGATCGCATATGAAATAATAGAGGAAATTCATTGTGGAAATTTAGTACTTACGGCTCCATTTGATAATGTTACGTCACCAGTAAAAAATTGGGAATTTCATGTTCAACCTGATGAAATTGTATCATTTGGACAGAGTTCATATGAAACTGATAATTAAATAATTTTTTCTACATGTTCGATTTCAGGAACGCCATATGTATGTATATATCAGATTGAGGAAAGTAATTCTCTTTTTTTATTATCAGTGTCAGAGATCCGCCAGCTACGAAGTCATATCATCCTAACCCACCTGGTTATGGGACGATGCGCAAAGGTCTTTACTAGTTTCCAAGTTTATTGACGGTACTTACTTCTCGTGAAGAACGGAGCTAAATGTATAAAAATAAATAAGTGTTATTAGTTTCATAGTGTTTTGCAATAGTTTACATATATTTATTATATCACAGAAATGAAAAATTGAGTGTAGTTTATGTCCTCGGAGAAGAATGTAGAATCTGTAAAGGTTCATCAATAATTGACTTATGTAGAATATGACTATATTTTAATGGTTGACATTAAAATGAAAGTTGCCTTATGATTGATTTACTAAAACCTACCTGTTAAGGATTTATTCAACGCTTTATTTTGTGGTGGCAATTGTAACTTATATAACCGATTAGTTAACTTCGAAGAATATGTAATGATAATTAAGAATGAAGTGTCGCCAAATAGTCTCATCGAGATGAACCGATCTTAAACTTTAAGAATAGATTTTATTAATTCGAATTCAAGTGAAAAATATAAATGTTTTACTTTCCCAGAAAAGTTTATAGCAGAGTTAGTTGAATAAATATGTTGCAACGAATGTTCTGTATCATAGTTTAATTTATTGTGTATTGTATTGCAAAATACGAGATATTTTATATTAGTATGCCCGTATAGAACACAGTAATATAAAATCGCCGTGTAAGCTTTTGTATTTCTTGGAAGATGCTTGTTTCCGACTAGACGGGATGCTTGAGAAATTTTTAAGAATCTCATCGACAACAAGATTATCCTGATGAAGCGGAGCAGGGTAATGGTGATGTGAGTTTTTAGTTGTTTTGTGGATCTCTGATTTATATTTTCTTTCTTCTCTTTGATATATAAGTACATATAATATATCTGTGTAGTGTTCGTTTCTTGCTTTTTATTTATTATCTTATTCTTCTCATCTTATTTACTCTCGTGCTTTTTGTTACTCTAAAGGTTCGAATTTCATTTGCATATATATATTATACATATGTATGAATAATAAAAGAGAGAACTGCCGAAATAGCAAATGGTGCAATAGCTAATGTTTGGTATGGCAGGATTACCATAACAAGGCTGTGGGTGGGTGTGGGTGTGAGTGTGTTGAAGAGGAGACTCACATCCACACTCATACCCACATCCTTCAAAGAAAAAATGAATGATTTGAAACAACTCTGTTGTTTTCAAACAAAACTCTCAATAGACACCAAAACTATTTGCAGATCATTCGATTGATATGTTGAACGAAAATGAACTGCATTTTTAGCGTTGCTCCGTTATCAAAAAACAGAACTCGAACAGGAGAATATCTTCAACTATTCACTGCTGAATACAATTTTGGATCAGCAAAAAGTGTCATTCTGAAACATCGATAAAAACCTATTAAAAAGTCATGACAGCTAAGAAAATTGTCGGCATTTCTAAAACATCAAAACATGAAAGTTACGCTGAGCAATGCTTTATTTTCAAGGCATTATGTCGTGTTAACAATGTTGTAGTCGGAGGTTTTTTCCACAGTTGAAACATTGGTCGTATTAAAATCCTCATCTGACTATCGATTTAAGCAATGTAGAAAAGAAATACCGTTCTTACGAAGCAATTCGAAAACATTCTATGTAATCAGAGAGTTCGATTTGTACGTACGAATCATGAAGAGTACGTCAATACCTTTGAAGATTGATTGAATATCATCCTTCATTCTGTCTGAAACTCAGTCTATCCTTCAATATGTGGATAACCTAGCATGTCAAAATAAAATTATGCAGACCCAACATCGAGTTTCCTATATGAGAGCTGAGAAGTAATGTCAAATTGAAAAAAAAGCACTATGCAGAGAAGTAAAAGAAGCTTGGCATAGATTTGATAGCTTTTATCGATTCTGTCGACATTATCTTGATTAAAAGGAGTAAATTGATTTCAAATAAGAAAAGTTTAATCTAGTACAAGTGATTGGCTTCAAAAACACAAAGTGTTACGGTTTTCTAGTATCTTTCTTGTACTTTTGATGGGATCGATATCTCAGTAGTTATCTCATGAAAATATACATTCAAAGATGGTTTGGAACGGTACGAAAATAACTGTTAGTCAGCTAAAGCAATATGTCTGTGAGAAGACTGGTGAAAATGAAGAAGATTTTCGAAAACCTGTTGCTTACTTTTAACAAAAATGAGGAAACGCTGATGTCTCATAGTAAAGGAGAAGAATCTCAGCTAAACGTATAGTATACCAATATTAAAACTTGTGACACTGGTCAGTTCGGAATGAGATTCGTGGATGTTAGCAATAATTACGGTTTAAACAATGATGTGAATAGTCTAGAATAACGCTATCCTGGCGAATAACTAGATGTGGTTTATGTCTTGAAAGCATATGTATCAATGATAAATGCAAAGCTCACAAACATTTGGTTATTATTCCTATTGGTTACAAGAAATTCCGTGTTCTACTTAGCTCCGATATATAAAAATTATGTAACCTTTCAGCTGTGCTTTTAAACATTGTTGGCGAAGATTCAAAGGACGAAAACAGGAAGAAGATGCTTATGGTAGATCACTCTAGAAATGTTCTAGTAACTGGAGTCAAGCGGATGATGTGTAGCATTATTTTGATAAACTGAAGAGCGAAACGATAACATGGATGCAACTTATACTTGAAGCTGTCACAAATACAGTAAACCTGCTCAATGACTTCTTTACTTTCCTATTTATTGATTTTTTGTCAGTGCTGGCGAGAGCATTCAATAAAACTCGGCTAGATTATAGCAAAACGAATCCATATTTTTTTTTCAGAAAAAAGAGAATTAATTAGTAATAGTACAGATTATTACTTTCTAATATACTACAATAGAATAGATCGGTGATTTACATTGCACAAGAATATCAACATTAGTGCATCTGGACATGTTCGTTGTTCGCACATTTATCCTTCATTCTCTTTCTATGTTAATAAATTTTACAACATTAAAGACACAAATCGACATTACTGTGACACAGTCACCATAATTACAGTAGATTACAGTATTATGAAAAGGTTTATTCTTCAACTAGAGGTCGTTTATACTCGTTTATTAATGTAATGTCTTGATAAAACCATCAACGTTAGTTTGATATTCAACAGACAATGCTCGTGATGTTTATTTATCTTTCGAAACAAATGAGTCATCTTTTATGCAGAATCACCTATATAAAATTAAAGGTAGAAAGAGGACCATTTCATTTCTTATCTAAATGTTAACATACAAATATCAGTGCTCAAAGTAATAAAAAAAAAGACACATATTCGGGAAAAATTGTAAGTTACATTCTATATTCATAATCGAAATCTCTGTCGAACACATCAATAAAAAACTTATCAAGAAAACAACCAGTAATAAAAGAGAGTTGCTTAAACTCGATATACTCACAAAAGAAAGATCATTATCAGTTGCAATTGAAAGTATGGGACTACGTGCAGTTAACGTTTGGTTACGTATTGGTATTTTTTCCATATTCTTTTCCTTCTATGTTGGCATCCATGGTTTCAAATTTAAACCTTCGTATAATTCACGACATGACATTCCTATGTGTTCATCTGCACTGCGATCTTCATCGAATATACGTTTGCAAGAAAGCTACGATGTGATAGTGATTGGCACAGGAGCCGCCGGTTGCATTGTTAGTGCCAAACTTGCAACTGCTCTAGGCATGAACGTGTTACTTGTTGAAGCTGGTGTCGCAACAGGAAATAATGATAATGAAAATATTACTAATCCAGCTCTATGGCTCAATGTGCTACATAATGATACATTAGAATGGCATTTTCATACTGTGGCTCAAACGGCATTGAATGATAGAATCATTAACCTCGGATTTGCAAAAGGTACTGGAGGAAGTGCAATGCATAATGCAATGGGATATGTCAGAGGAGGACAAAAGTGGTAAGTATACCGACGACTGATTTCACAGTCTAATCATCTCTTTGAAAAGGTTTAAAAGAAAAAATTATTTATATATACTGTTTTCCTTCAAAAAGAGCATAATGATTTGTGTACGTCAAATTGGAAAGCTTTGATTTCTGCCGATAGATAAGTACTTCTATCCAACAATGGATATAATCGACATTCAAATGAATATTAGTCGTTCTTGTTTCTGGTTAGAGAAGGAATTATATCTAGTAGGGTTTCTACAAATCATTTTCAAATAGAAAATCTACTGAAAACCTCCGTAATCTCAGTTTGCTTGTTTTATCTGAGTGTTACTATTCATATATAAAAAATGAATTCTCATCTTTTATTGTATTGTAACTCTAATTTTCACGTGTTGAAAGATTTCCATATAAAAACTTAAGAATTTCTATTCAAGAATCTATACTACACGCTAAATTAGAATCGATGACTGAAATCAATGACCTCTTTTACTAGTAGAACAGCCCTCGTAATCTTTTATCAGACCAACGAATTTCGTCTAGTTCATCTACTTCTTGAATGAAATCAGGTGGAAAAAATAAAGATTTCTTTGCTGAAATCAATCGTTTGTTCTAATATAGAATATAAGAATCTGTGAAGTAAAACTTATTTTTATAACCATTTTGAAAATCGTTAGCTTTGTCGTGCTATGAGACATGATCCATGCCTTATTATGTGATTCAAAATGAGTTTGGTTTAATTTTAAAGCAGTCTAGATCAATTAGCGCTCTAAGATTGTATCTAATGTATATGTGAAATCCTATCGGCAAGTTGGCAAAATATAATAAACAGATAATAGATTGCAGTTTTTAGGTAGCAAGACCTCTTTTCCAATGATGCTTTCGCTAGGGTTTTGGCAATTTTGAAATTTCCATACAAGCTACTTTGTATGTTAGGCTCTTATTGACAAAGAGTTTCATAAATTGGGTCATTTATGAAATCTTTTGTACAACAGCTATTGTAGAACGAGTGAACGTGTAAAATTTCTCAAAAGTATTGCTAAAAATGGTTAAAACTGAATTCAATAGTTGATTAGCACTTCTTACATTAAACGAAAATTTAATAAATCATATATACGATTCGATATAGCATTCTTTTTTACGTT